CATGGAAGCCCCAAATCAAATATAATTTCCATTGTTTTAAAGGGCGGTAGTCGTCGCTAGTCACGCTTACATGTCAGGCTAGGGTTTTCTTTATGACGCAAAACATAACATAGGATAAAAACTGTTGTTTTTGCTTTTTTATAAACTGTTAGTAATCCAGTGTAGAGCGACCTCTAGAGTAGGGGGACTAAGTTATATCGTTTATTTTCCGGTAGCGGCGCATGTCGTTCCGATATATTTAAAGCGGTGAATCATAGCCATACATTCCTGTCTGACCTAGAAATAATTGAAATCACTTCTGTCATACATTTCAAATATTATTATGCGTATTCTAGTCTGAGATTACAGCTGAACTGTGTGAAGTATCCCGATGTATGATGAAATGTTTTTGTTTTGTTTTTAAATAAGAAAAATAACAGAAATATAAAATTGCATGTGCACAAAACAAGAACCCAAGTGAAAAACTAGACATTAAGCGCCCACACTCCCCACCTTTCAAATCAAATAGAAACTAATCAAAATCAAAACATCCGTTTATGTGATGAAATGTTGTCCACTCCCAAACACACACACACCTTATAAGATTAAGTCGTGCCCGACTTCAAAAATACTGACATATAATATGAATAGCAACACCTAAGAATAAGTACGTAATCGTGTAAACTTCACATCAAAGAAACAAATATAATTAAATCGTATTATTACAACTGATAAAATGAAAATGACATCACAGTTCAGTGAACTTACTCTCCATGATGATGACGTCAACAATCTCAAGTAATGATCATGATTCACGTGCCCTGTCTACTGAGTACACCTGACGTGTATATCGAGTTGGCGTATGTCTTTTAATAATTTATGAAATTAAATGTAAATCCTATAATTAATAATAATTTATCACACCATAGTTACAGTGTGTGGAAAGCCCAGAACTCGTAATATACTAAATGTGGCCAAGAACTATTACTGACATTCACATGCCAGTGCGCACGCCCCCAATATAATCAACATACCACGTGATTTTGCGACATATACATTGAGTTAAAAGACGCAGCACCCTCATTTTGTTACTCACAATCTCGGACGAGGTGTGTACTGAGCTGATACTGACTGGTTTTGTAAGGTAAACCTTTTATGCATCTTCAAAAATATCTTCATCGCGTTTGGTGCTAGATGATACTTAATTTCTATTACCAAAATCGTCGACTTGATAGATAGTTTTACCTGGGCGCCACTTGCAGTAATTACCGCCAGCGACTCCTTCGATACCTTCCAAACACCAAAAAAATACCTTGGTTACCTTGGTAACCTCTCAGTGTGTACTTGTTGCACTCTCCCTTGCAGAGTCTTCTTGACCTAGGGAGCCACAGAGAGCTGCAACTAGTGGGACGTTCTCTGGCGACTACCTAGCTTAGTGATAAAAGACGCATAGTCTCTGCGACGGAGAATGTACTAGTTGGTGTAGCCAAAATCGCCATCTTTGTTTATATGAAACCCATATCTCGCACATGCGCGGCGCGACGACTACCGCCCTTTAAAGCATGTGTTAAGATATTGTCTACAAAACTTAGTTCAACGCTTTTTTTTAATTTTGAATAAATGGCCAAAAATCAAATCAAAGTTACGGCGTTCACGAGTTGTATTGGTTGAAATCTGGAGTATTGTGCCATTCATCTACTCAAGTTATTATTTTGTCTTCACTACAATGAATCCCATCATGCCTAGCTGTTCGAATTTGTATCGGTGCGCGCTAAACAAAACAAGTCTAAGAAGTACGTTACGAATTGGAGAAAAAAACTGATAGGACTGATAAAAATAATATATAGAAAATGGTAGTCGGTTATCGTCACAGTTCTTGGTAATTATTCAACGAATCACACGTTTCGGGCGATATGCCCTTTTTCAGTTGGTAATTTAATCACGGATATCTTGCAAATACCGTCACGGTAGCCTCTGCATTTATCAAAGTGCATACATTATTTATTAAGGCTTCAAAACAATTTTGCCGATAGCACGATTCCAACAAAGACAATCTTTTGTGTGTGTGTAATAACCATGAATACAATGAGTGTGGCGTGATTTGTGTATCGTCTGATGACTGTGAGTGTATTCTAGTCTGATTTCAATGTGAATGCGCTGTTCTGTGATGCAATTCTCGTCAAATATAAAGTACACACAACTACGATAGTAATTACATCATACATGTACACTAACAATATAAAATTGCCCTCTGAATTTTAAAGTTTTGTTAATTCTATACTCATTTTTATAGAAAACAAAAAATCTTGCTTTTTTGAGTTGTCAATACTATTCATTAATACTATAAGTAAAATCACAAATATCAGTAGGTAATATAGAAATACATGTAGAACAATTTCTACTCGTAAGTGGTTACTTACGAAATGGCATTCTGACAGCGCGTTAACACGTGACAGAAACGATGACGCATTTCACTAAATGTGAACGTGCTTCATCCGTCGTAAACTGGCGGAAGATTTATCTAATGTTTAGTCGTATCGATTCGTTTTCATAGTAACTTTTGTAAATCGCGTAATTTATATTATTGCTCATTTGTCATCGAAAACAATAGCGGCGTACGTAAACCCCCTGTACCTAATCTTAGTAATGACTGTACGTTACTGAGTATCAGGAAGCTTTCAATCAACTTGGGCAGTGTCGATCGGTGATTGGACTATATCAACTACATTCTCCGTCGCAAAGACTATTGGTCTTTTATCGCTAAGCTATGTGGTCGCCATGGGACCGCCCCACTAGTTACGACTCTCTGTGGCTCCCTATGTCACAAATACTCTGCAAGGGAGAGTGTATCAACTATTGAGCCTCAATTTCCATTCTGCATAACACGGTATTAGAGCGTTCGTGTTATCGGCGAAATTGTTGCGCCTAACATCGCACGCGAGAATTAATAGATCAATATAAAGCATGTATCACCAAATGTTATCTGGTCATTGTAGCTTTGAGATTGAAGCACAATGCTCGTAATTTTGCAGGGTTGTTGTATTTTGTTTATAAATTAAGCTTGTTATAAAGTCGCAATACGAGTAATACTTTCATATCTTTGTTATTTGTACTACTATCATATATTTATTATCAAAATACAGCAACCTAGGAATATAACGAGCACCTGTTGATTGGTGTCGCTCTCCGTCGGGCACCCGGACCCCTTATAGGCAAACAACCGTTGCATGAAAATTATTTTAATTAACTTTTTATTTAACTAAATAAGGTGGTGTTGCCAACTCTAGAATCATCACTAAATTTGAATCGTTTCATGACTTACTATTCAGTCATGGATATAAATACATTTTTATGATATTTACTGTCAATTCAGTGTTTCATGACGTGCACGACACCATATATTGCTGTGTTCAGATAGCACAAGGATACGCAGCCTATGCGACGAGTAACTTTAAAACGAATAAACAAAAAAAATACAAAATGTATGGATGTTCTTGTTGTATACAACAATCCGATCAACTGTAAAAACGGACACTGAGATTAAGCACATCATTTAAAGATGTTCTGCTTTAAGTTCAAGTTTCAACGAGAAGGGCCAGTAAGTTCTCAATGAGATCTCAAGAAAGTTTTCCCTGTCGAGGTCCTACATACAACATTTCTTTGAGTGTGATAAACTTTGAATACAAACATATTAATCCGGGCATACAGGTCATTGTGAGACTAGTGTGGCCCGTTCACCGAGGCGGAAGAGTCGTCAAGGATGTACAGAGCTTACTTCTCCGTGTTATGTTATGTACTATATTCACGGACACGTGGAAATGATATGACACGTATAAAAAGTAATTGAATATCAAATGACATTACAAGTTGTTCGGCGTTATTCAATACTTAATAATTTTTGCTTATGTTGACAATTAGATCCTTTATTTTTCCGAAATCTTTTCGACATTGTGCGTTCATTGAGATCGTAACTTGTTTTCTCTTCACTACAAGACACTGTTTTTGTGTGGTGGCATTATTTCTTCTACATTGGAATATATGGATGTTGTTAGTTATAAGTTATACCGGACTTCAGTCAACGAAAAATGGAAAGGTTTTCCACTGCGATGCGACCAAAAACAAATAAATGTAGTAGTTGCAAAAAAAGTTAAACCAGGATTGGACAATGGAATGGACATTGGACATGGTGCACTTCGGTTGATATTTATTTGATTTCTTCCGCGTAGAATATGTCACGTGTTAAAAACACACACACTTCGTCTGTCTTGCAAAGGTGCGAAGGGAATGACGGCTGATCTGTGAGTCGATATGTATTTTTATATCATAATATATCGCAAAATTTGCCCCGGGGACTTAGCTGGTAGAGTTTTCTGAATTTTGCGGAGAAAGGTGCACGCGAAACCAAATAAGGGGTACTTTTTAAAAGCAATAGCTACTCATAGGTAGAGCAGTGGAAGACCTTGTTTTGTTTTTGGAAGTTCCACCTGAACTAAAACACATCAAATCACAGAGACGTTCGAACAGAACGACAAGACTGGCGTCCCTCTAAAATTACATAGTCCGCTCGCACGGTTTCATGACCGTCCACTGCTCTCTCTAACATGTGGAGGCAGTAAGCTGGAACATTATACATTGACAATTCAAGATGCTAAAATAAGTGTGTTTTTATTCTTACCTAAAAGGGGTAATTTTTTATTTAAAAATTAGTGGAAAGATGTTGTTTTTGATATTGCAGAACACTCCTACGTCTTACCTATATGGTACCAGACTTCACGTGGCGTTCATTTAAAATAGATGTTTTATGATGGCGAACAACTCAAATTCTCTTCTACATTTAGTTTTCTGTATTTTCTCCATTCCGATAGAAATACCTCATAGTTTGTTTCCTTGGCTAACTTGTTTCCCGGAAGGCGGGACGATTCTTATTGTAAGCGTTGGGGGGAATTTCCCCACCCTGTTTTGCTATTAATAGATTGTTCTGTCTACGGCGCATGCGCATCTCATTCGTGTGCTACAGCTCGTGCCGTAGACGTACAATGGTAGCTCAGTAATAGCAGCCGTACTTTGACGTTTTCAGGTAAGAGTGAGTCGTTTTATAGCAAAACATTTGATATCTGGTACGGCAGATATTCCATGAGCTTCGTGGTTTGGTTTGACTTATTTATCCCGGTGAACAAAAGGTGCAGGCTCCTCGGCGTCTCGACCGCGACGACTTCAGCACAAACATCTTTGCGACGGTTATCGCTTTATACTTTCCTTTTCAACTCCTTTAACATTTAATAAATACGTTGAAGAATTATTCTTACTGTGTCCGTCATAACTGGAATGGCATCGTATTTACCAGATGCGTCATGATTTGGGGAATTTTGCCACATATATAACTTCTCGAATAATAACAATTTATAGAATATGGAAATTCCCCACTGGGGGAATGCCCTGGAAAAGTCCCGTTGACACACGTTGATTTTTGACTACCAAAAACTGTTGTCATGACTGCTGTGATTGGCTGATTGCTTGTTTGGAAGCTGTTTGAATATATTTTAACTAGATATATAAATTGTACCAGGCCTCCAAAAACAATCTTTTTTTATGTCATTCGTGCAGTACGCGCTTATCGTTTACACTATTACCAGTGAAGTGCGGGTGTTTATGTGGCTATGAGTAAAAACAGGATCGTATCGACAAAATTCTAGGTAGGAATGCTTGTTGCATATTGCATTTATTAAATTTTGCATCGTATCTGCTTGAATAAAAAGTGATAAATAAGCGAGTTTTTTGCACATTTATTTCCAAACCCCTACCCCTTCAAACGTACTCTCTATGACGTTTTGGTAACACACGGGGCATTAAGTTCTTTGCAAAACGAAGCAGATTTAAATATAAACTGACTGAAACAGGAAATACGACTGGGAAACCCCGAAATTCGCACAACTTGACTCACTTCCTCCTCCCCAAATTATATAAATTCTGGACCAATCTGGATTTTGTTTTAAAATATACGACAATCACCTGACTTTGCAATCGTATCTGTACATCTAATACGAACTATTGAGCGAGCTAATATGTTATTGGATGTGGTGTCAGACGTGGAGTCTTGTAAACGAGTTATATCTGCAATTATTGTTGTAAACAAGTTCAGTATAAAACTGCGACTAACAGTGACTGTGCAAGACATTTGAACCGCAGTGACGTGAACACCTACGCACCAACTAAACATTACTGTGACTAAGAGGCATGTGATTTTTCATCTGTATACATAGATTAAGCACTGGATGCAGTTGTTACGGCTATGGAACTACATACAGTAAGCGAATACGATCTACGCATGGAAAACCAACGACTTCACCATGAGAACCGTGAATTACGAAATGAAAATATTTCCCTCAAGAGGCGGGTCAGTGGCTGTGGAACGTTAGGTAAATTATATTTTTACAAAAAAAAATATGTTTTTGGCGTGTGTTGAAATCGGTGTAAATGCTTTGAAAAGATACCCGTCACTATACATTACATTAACACTTGTGTATTTTCCAGAGGGGGTGGGCAGCACAGAAGCAACAGCCGAAACGGCGTTGCTAGCTTTGGAACGTGAGGTCATTCGCCTGAATAAAAAAAACACAACAAATGATATGGAATAGCTACATCATGCTCTGGTTAGGCCAGACTTTTTTTATTCCTTGTTATGCGAGTTTTTATAAGGCAATTTTTTTGAGGAGGGCGGAAAAAAATAAAATTAATTATTTTTTTCCATTAGATTTGTGTGATTCTCGAAGAATTGTAAGTGAGATCATTGATCGGAGAGAAGAAATGAAATAAAATTTTATTCCATGTATAACCGTGTTTCTCATCTGTGCGAGAATTCGGTGCTTTGATCATGATACTCCCACGAAAATGCAACTTGGATTTGTTATGCGGTGGGCGGTAAAAAAATGAAGATAAAAATAATATTTTTTTAGCATTTTTTTGCCCTTAGAAGTCAGCGGGCGCGAGAAATTACGCTGAAATAAAATTATATTTTTATTTAATTTTCGGCTCCTGTTCATTCGGCGGGTTCGCGAAACAAGGGATCGTAAAAGTCTGGCCTAACCATGGTTTGGTACATACAACTAAGAAAAATAAACACACTGTACCAAAAACTGCAAAGTGTGATAAAATTTGCACACAATAAAGATTAAGAACAACATTTACTATTGGCTTGTCTAAATAATAGGGAATACCTTATTTTTTAGATTGTCTAAATTTGAAGTGGTCAATGGATATAATTCTATCAGAAATTATAAATATTAAAAAAATATTCAATTAATATTATTTTTTTAATTTACTATCATCACAGCTGTTATGTTAAGTGAATCCCAAGAGCAGGTGAAACAACTGAAGGACACAGCACAAGCACTGACAGCTGCATCCAGGGCTGCTAGTCTTACAACCGGTACTCCCTCGAGCAGTTGTCAGCTGAGTGAAACGCTAGTGATACAGAGATCAAATGGAAAAACTACAGATCACTACAATGACAAACATAATGATAAAAAGGTATTGTTGTTTGTTTGTTTGTTTGTTAATTGACAAGATTTGTTTTAATAATATTATTTTGTTGTCATACTTTTTATTAACTTTCACGATTGTTTATTATTGCAGGATTATGATAGTAATGGATATGATGCTAATAAGACAGACCTTCTATCCTCCTTGAACTCTGAATCACTTCTGAACTCAGAAGTTGTTTTCGATTCATCGCCATCAGATATTGATGCAGAACATCAATCAAACCAAGAAATAAGCAATCAGTCTGAACATGCACAAAACAGTATCCACTCGGGTGACCTGCCATCAGAGGTAAATAGCTTTTTAAACAAATTATTGTTGATTCTCTAATTCTGACTATAATTTGCTCTTGGCTCCCGGGTAGGGCAGATAATTCAGCAATGAATGTATATCTTGATGAGCATTCAAATCACCACTATGCTTATCTATACTGTAGGATGTGCCAAACGAATCCCTAAGAAGTGAAGTCAGCGGTGCAGATGAAATGCTCTCCAGCCACTCTACAGCATCGTATGATCAATGTGAGTCCCCATCGTTGCTAATAAGGGATTTAAAAGCAGTCCTGGATAGGTCAAGTAGAGAAACACAGTCAGTAATAACACCTATAGTAACCCAGTTAATTAAAGAAACAGCCAAGTTGGAAAAACATAATAAAACTAAAACGGTAAGTTCATGCTCAACTCAATCTGATTAAAATAAGATTCTAGTTTGGGCTTTTTTTTTCATTTTTTCTGTTAATAGAATATCATTCATATTTTTTTCATATATTTTATTATTATTTTTTTCAATTTATTTGCTGGTATTTTTTTAAGTTTTGGTAATCGTCAAGAGTGGGATTTATTTAAGGAGGGTAGCTACTAAGGGTAATGTTGCACAGTAATTTTCTGAAATTCTCTACAGTAGCAGAACTAAGTTTGGAGTATTCAAGAACAACAAAAAAATGTATGGTCACCGGTCAATTTTTGGAGATGTGGCGCCCTCTAGTGTC